GATTGGTGACATCTCCATGCTACATTGTCACAAGCACCTATGGCTGGTCAGCAAACATGGAAAGAATCATGCAGGCTAAAGCCCTGAGAAACAACAATGGGTTACATGGCAGTAAAGAAATATCTGGAGACAAACCTAGACCATTGCATCATCAAGACCTTAAGGCAGAAGGCAGAGGTTGACAAGAATGACAAGTCAGTGAAGGACCTGGTGATCCTCCATGAGATGGCGCTCCTGTCGCCTGGCTTCAGTCTGAAAGATCTCCAGACACACGCTTACAGGATATACAGGATAATCAAACTTGGTCTAGGTATTGATGAAGATGACCCCACTACTGATGACAGCATTGCTGGTGTAACTAAAGAGATGCCACCCGCCCTCAAAGGAAATGATGACACATCACACAGAGGAAGTAGACTAAGCTCACTTGAACAATAACTTGTATGTGTGTTCAATACTTTACCTTTGTTCCCTCTGGTAATATATTTTCAAGGACTTTTTCCTTTATTTTAAATTAACATTCTAAAAATCTGTATGGTATGACAGTACTTAAAGAAAAGGTTTCTTTCTACTTCTAAGTGGATGATATTGTGATACTTCAGGCACTAAAGCGGAGCTAGTTTTTCTTTTCTAGTTTCATATTGGCTTCTTTTAACAGAATGAGGTTGTTTGTGGTGAGATATGTGTAATCTAATGTTTGTTAACTTTGTGGTCTAAAGTGTTTAGCTCTCAAGTGGATTCCTTAGTAGACCAAATTTTTTGTCACTGAAGTATACTGAGATGTACATGTTTAAAAACAACCTTCAACCCCTAGGATCTACTTTTTAAACCTTCCATCTCCTGTAGTTATCAACAGCACGTATGGCCTCTAGAAATTAGTATGCTAAGCTGTACCAACTTGATGGAAGTAATTATCTATAGGGCTTGTATTCCAAAGAAAAGTATTGTTTAAAGTAGCAAAATCATAAGCCAACCTAGGCATGTCATAAAGCCATTCAAAAGTAACTCGGCAAGTTTTGTGAATGGAAATGTAATGCTCAAGTCACATTCTGCTTTAAAAAGATTGTGACAAATACAAATGAATTAAAAAGGAAAAAAATAAATATCATTACACAAATACCAGTAGGTGTCTACTTCTGTCTACATAGTCCTAATTCCTACTCCCCGGAGATGAGAATTTTTAATCATTTTAGCTTCTTCTTATGATATTTACTTCTATGTTTCTAAATATGCTTAAACTGATGTTAATTTATTTTCTCTTTGGTGATATTATTGGTTGACTTTTAACCATGGAGGTTGAGGACTAAGCTACTCCTTACACCCTATTCATCTCAATATACAAGTGTTTGTTAATCAGTTTTTATTTGTTTTTAATTTTATTTTAATTGTTCAAGTATAGTTTTCTATCTTTTACTCCCAGCCCACCCACCTAGCCCTCCCCACCTCCCTCCCATGGTTAATCAGTTTTGTCTCTGGTATAATTTGACTATATAAAACTTATCCACACCTGAGCTCTCTAATATAAATATAATTATATTGCTTTAGCTTGTAATTCTTAATTTTTCTGAAATTAATAACTGCCTTGTTTTTATCATTAGTTAGTTTCCTATATATTCCCAAACTCTGAACAAAACTAAAGTCTACCAGTTTTATATTTTCCCTAGTCACATCTTTTCTGGAACAGTTCAGGCTTTTCCTATAGTCCAGACTAGTTGCTTTTTTGGCTGGTTGCACAAATGCTGACCTGTATTTGTCCTTGACCATCATCTGTGCCTCTCTGGTGTTGGATCACCTGTCTTCCTGATTCCCATGCCTTTTTCTTCTGTGGTTCATCCCTTGTTTTGGTGGAGCATATTTGGTGGAACCCATGTAGTGTTCCAAGAAATGGTATACAGCATATAAGAGAATTTGCATTTCTGAAAATGTCTATTTGCCCTTGTACAATACCCAATAATTTGGCTATGTATGATATTCTAAGCTGGACATTTTCTTTTCAAAACTTGCAGATGTTATGCTATTGTCTCCTCACAGTGATGCTATTTAGAAGTCAGGTGCCATTCTGATTTTTTACCATTTGTATGTGAACTGTTTTTTCTCTCAGATTTTTCTTTTTGTTAGCATTGTGCTGAACTTATGATGAGAAGTGGTATGGGTTTTGTGTTGGGCACTTGGTGGAGCCCTTTCAATCTGGGAACTCATGTAGCTTACTTGGTGGACTTTTCTTGATTTATCCCCATTTTAATTTCTGTTTTCTCTGTTCCCTGTTGTTTGAGCCATCTAGGCCACTCCCTTAATTTTCTTATCTGTTCTCTCCTCAATTTCTCTCTCAATTTTTATTCTACTTTCTGGGCAGTTTTACTTTACTTAATCTTTGCTCTCATTCATTTGGTATGCAAGAGCTTTTGGGAGTTTTTGAATGTTCCTTTTTAATTTAACTTTGTTGTTGTTGTTATTCCATGTTTGCAATAACTTACGAGTTAATTGTAGTTATTTGTTTTTTGTTTTGTTTTGTTTTATTTTTATGTTTTCTGCCCCTCATTTCCTGTTTCTGTTTTGGTGTCTACCTTTAAAGTAATAGGTTTTCTAGCATATTTAAAATAGTGCCTAGCACACAGGATAATCTCAGTAAATGTTAGATATTACTGTGTGATAAACTGACTGCAGGAAAGGAGAGAAGGGTGGCAGGGTGACAAATCTCTGTGAGTTGTCTAGGGAAGAGGTGGGGAGCATCTGATCTTAAATAGTTTGGGGATATGGTGGATATACCAAAAAATTAGACATCCTAACATTTCCACATGAAGAGTAAGGTATATTTAAAGTTGACCTTGAGATTTTTGGCTTGAGAAATTCTGTGTCTTCCATAACTGACATTGAGAAGACAGGAGGAAAAGCAATATTGGGGAAGTAATACTGAGGACCTTTTTGGATTTGAGAAATGTTAGGTAGCCTCAGCCACTGTCTGTCTCTTACCAAAGTGCCAGGCTCTTTTCTCTCCATTTTTTAGCACAGTCGTAGAATACTAAAAAATCTCAGCATTTTACTTATCTTTTGAGAAATCACAATTTAACTTGCCAAAATTTCCTGAAATATCTTTGTTCTGGGCTCTCTTAAGATGTAGTAAGATCATGACTTTGTATATACGTGTGTCTCACTTTAAGAACAGATGAAGGCCTCACCATGTTAAGAAAAATGGTAACAATACATACCAGACTGGTAAAGTTGTTTATCTTAGCAGACTGGTTTTGGCAGGGAGATTATTAACTTTTTAATTATCTTTGAATTGTTTTGTTTCAAAGAATTTTGTATTATTTTTGTAAATAAAGTTATTTTTTTTTAATTTAAGGATATATAATTAATGGAAAGGTATTTTGACAAACCCTGGTTTTCATCAGCTACTTTGAAAAATAGTCTAAGAAACAAACAGAAAAGAAATATTATTTAAATCTTGTAATTATGTAAAATGTGACTTTTTTCTTTTGAGGTCTGAGTTCTGTTTTTCTTGATAGGTTTTACAACTCTTTAAAACATTGCACAGGACCAGACAACAAGTTTTTAAAAATGATACCAGAGCATTAAAAGGTAACTTAATTTTTTTCCCTTTGGAATAAGTCCATTCTTCAGATGGCTGCTAGCATATCCAAGAGACCTTGTATACAGTCAAGACTCATCTTAGGGAATGCCCTTCACTACCTCTTCTCTAATGTTGTTTTGTATTATGAAGATTAGTTGACATTACACTTTTTGAGGAGTATATACTTAAAGAAAATTAAAGTCACTTCTCTATTTTATAATCAAATTTTCACACTCTCTAGGACCTGATACTACCACATTGTTAATACCTTGTATCATTCTAGAAGTGACAGCCGCTATGAAAAATAATACTGGATCTATCCCAAATAGTTCCAAATTCAGTATTTCACTATTTTATGTGGTTTCTATCTTATCTGAAAGTCAGAAATGTGAAGCTTAGGTTCTGTGTTGGTCAGGTTCAGTTCCAGTCCTCATGTATTTCTAAACCTCTTTAACCTAGGTAAAGTGTCCCCACTGTCCCCAGGAATTCAAGTTTTTCGAGTTCACTGAAAGTAATTTCTTGAATATTAAAGTATATGCCTTATATTGCACTTTGTACAAATTCTTCATTTCATTCTTCTAACAGCCTAGTGATGTAGTTGCTTTTATAATTTCTATTTTTTCAGATTAGAAACTAACAAAAATGTGAAAGGAATTGCCCTACATTGTGCTTAGTAAGAGTGAGAGCTAGGATTCAGTCTGTGCAATCTGACTCCAAAGCCCAGACTCCTAACCACCTTACATATTGCAATTATGAAGCATAGAAGGAAGGTTTTATGACTATTCTCCATCAAAAGAGCATATTTTTGCTATTTTAAAAGTTTTAAAATGAAATAATTATAAGAACAGCTGACATTGCATATTTACTAACGACTTTACATGGGTTATTCCATTAAATGCTCACAGCAATACAATAAGGCAGTTTGTCAGATTATGCTGCTGCAATGATGCCACAGTCTCGATGGTGCATATAAACAACAGTTTTATTTGTCACTCACTTTGCCTGTCGGCCAAGGCCCTGAGGCTGCTATAACTTTATTTTAATTTGTGTATGTATGTGTTATTTAATGTGCTTATATATGTTGGGTTTTGCCATCTTAAAAATTTTAATTTAAATTCTTAGATTTATAGGAACAAAACACTGGATTTATTAGAATCTAACAGATAGGCATACATAAATGAGGTTGGAAGTAAAAAGCAGGAAACAAAAGTATTAGAGTGCTGAATGTTTATATTAGGTTTAAGTACAAGTTTGCCAGTCTGTCCACTTCTTTAATCTATTTCTTATTTGTATACTTTGTTTTACATGGGGCAAAACTATTTCCTCTACTGCAGAACTAGCCATTCATAATGAATAACATATAAATTATTGGGACAGGAATTATAAATTAGAAAAGCAAATAATTGTGTATGTATTTTTCTTTCTGTAGCAGCCAGAAGAAAGATAAATGAAGAATTCAAAAATAATAAAAGTGAAACTTCTCCTAAGAAAATAGAAGAGGTATAGTAATCTTTTCAATTACAATAAAACTCATAAATTTTCTTGGCAATTAGAGGAAATGATGAAAATAGAAGTATTATTTGATATAAAAACCCTGAGTGTTAGAACAAGTATAGATAACCTTCACTTATTCAGTATGGCTCTCCTCCTCTGGTTCATCTGCTTGTATCTATAAGATGGCAAGTTGTGTGGTGAAAAGAACATGGATGCTGCCATGGTCAAAACAAGAGCAACTGAATCATCCTAGACAGCACAGAAATGCTGTCTTCACTTAAGGCAAGTGACTGAAAGTAAGGAGAATGTGTGCTGTAGTAACTCGGAGCTACAGAGGGAACATCTCCCCATTGAGCTCAACTAGACATATTTTTTTTTTTAATTCCTATGTTGGCAGTGGAATTAACCAGCCACAGTTTATGACCTACTCTTGGTTTGCCTTCTATGTTTGCATTTTAGTCACTTGTTCTAGTTGAAGACAGTCTACTGATATTAGTCTGTGAATTCCCTAGTACTCCCAATACATATTCATTGAAAAAAATGCACAATGATTTATTTTCTGTATAAAATCATGTTGCATATATACATTGTCTCAGTCTTGAACTTCCCGAGTATTCCAGTAGCTAACCTTGTATAAAATAGGGGGGAAAGACCCATACGAAGAAAATGAGAAATGGAAAATTATTTGCAGGAGTAGTTATGATTCCTAGAATTAGTTTGATAAAAAGGATGGTACAAATTAGAGAACTTTTTGGATATTTAATAAAATGTCCACATCTTAAAAAAGTTTGATAAATATGCATTTATATTTTTAAAATGGCACTTCTGAAGTAGTAAATATCTATAATAATCAAGCTAATGATATAAAATGAGATAGCTCAAGTATTTCTATCCCTATAAGATGAAGAAAAAAGGGAAAGATTTCTCTTAAGCATATGAAAGGGCAAACAGGGATATATATGGTAATTTTTATTTATACAGAAGTTAAGAAGACATAGACCAGTGGTCCTCAAACTTTTTGTTCTCAAAACCCCTTTATATTCTTAAAAATTGAGGACCCTAAAAAGTGCTGTTTTTATGTCATACCTATCAGTATTTACCATATTAGAATTTAAAACTGAGAAATTTTAAAAATACATATTGATTAAATCATTTAAAACAAAAAGCTTATTACATGTTAAAAATACATTGTTTATGAAAAATTAACTATATTTTCAAAATAATTTAGTGACAAGAGTAACATGCTTTACATTTTTGCAAATCTCTTTCATGTCTGGCTTAGAAGTCAGCTAAATTGTATCTGCTTCCTCATTCAGTATGTTTTTTAGGTTGAAGTATTTGAAGAAAATTGAGCCTCACACAACTAAGTAGTTGGAAAGATATATAATAGTCTTTTCAAATAATGGTGAATATTCTTTGATACTGTATGCCAACAAGTGATAAATTTCCTTAAAGATTAGTTGCAGTGTGAAACTCTGTTCCTATTAGACCTACTGGATATATAGACCAATGGATATATGTGTATATTTTGGCGGCTGGAGGGGGATGCTCCAGGATGTATACATACCACCTCCTGTCCACTCCCTCTGGTCTCCCCTAATCCCGTGTTCCCCTTCTGACCTTGTTCCCAGCCTTAGACCTAGGACTCCACTCAGTTTATGCACCTCCAGTGGGTGGGGAGATCTTTTATTTCTTCCCCCTCTCTCTACCCTGCTAATCCCCTTCTCAGGTCTGTCAGGCTGGGCAGCTTTGCTCTCCTACAGCCTTCTCCATGTTGATGAGTGGCAGCTCCCTCCTTTTGACGCTCAGACCAAAAACCTAGGTGTCTCTTTCTTGTCTGCTTTCCTTCTCTCACACATTGAATCTGGCAGCAGGTCCTGTTGGTTTAACCTTCAAAATATATCCAGAATTCAACCACTTCTCATCCTCCCCATCATCTTCTGGTTCAAGTCACCATCATACCTCACTGCATTGTTTCAACAGCTTCCTGCTGGATCTCCCTTCTTTTGCTCTAACATCCTGCAGGCCGTTCTCAGTACTTTTAAAGGCAGACTGAGCCTTTCTAAAAAAGACATACTCTATCTCTCCTCTGCTCACAACCCTAATGATACCCCATCCCACCCAGAGCAGAATCTAAAAGTCCTTATCTACCATGACCTGGGAGACTGTATCATCAGGCCCCTGTTCACTTCCTGCCTCACTTCACTCATTTTGAAGAGAAAGTCTCCCAAATACTCAAGTCTGAATAATCGTAGTTTGCCTGCCTGTCAGTGGTTTATTCAAGTTCAAAAGGTATTTCATAGAGAAGCTCTACTTCTCACAACTCAAACAGTGCAGAAGGCTCTAGTATTATGAAAATAATTTTGACATCATGGGTCCCCTGAAAGAGTCTCAAAGCCCCTCAAGGTGCCTACACCATTGAGAATTTCTGTTCCAGTCCAGGTCTTCATTTTGCAGATGATGAGGTCTGAAGTTCAGAGTAGTTATTAACCCAAGGCCATACACTTAATGACAGAACCAGAGTTGGAATCCAAGTCTTGTGCCTCCTAATACAACACTTTCTAGTTCTCAGAACATCCATCTCTGTCCAAGAAATATTCACATACTGCCAAAACAAAACTATTTAAACACACTGTAAAGTATATATACAAAAAAACTGTTCTAAGTCCGTTTTGGGAAAGTTAAAAGTATACACCTATCTGAGCTTTCTGTACACTTGCAATGATTAGAAAAAGTAAAAAAAAAAGTTAAAGGCAGTATTACCTAAAAAAAGAAATTGTAATAAACAATTTCTTTTCAAAAATAGTACATTCATATGAACCATTGAAAAAACATTCAAAGGATTTATTCTTTGGTTTTGGTTTTCTTAACAGCTAATAAAAATAGGTTCCGATGTGGAATTGGTACTCAGAACATGTGTTATACAAGGCATTCACACAGATCACGATACACTGAGTAAGTAAAGTTAAAGAAAACTATTTTCTGATTGCAGTGTTTTAAAATATTGAGCAATTAACAGTGTTTTTAATGCTGATCAGTAAAACAGCTTGATTTTGCCAGACAATGTGGTATATGTATATTGTATACATTTGTAAGGCAAGCATTTAAAAATGCTGAATTATGAAACTTTGTTTTACCATATTTTATTCTTTTTCTTTTTTAACTTTTCTTTTTAATCTTAACTACTGGTTATATTTATAAAACTATAATTACAAGGATAGTATGGCTATTTTATTATGTTTATTTAAAGTTATTAGCATTTCTAGTATCATTTATCACCTACCTGGACTAAGTCTGTTTCTTTACTTTTTATTCTGTGATTAGAGGTATTTTAATTCATCAAAATTGGGATTATAGAAAATAAAAATACAGTAGAGGATCCTTCATTATACCTCAAGGCTCCTGATGGGGCTTCGGCAGAATCTCATTTCACATTGTATTTTGTTTTTATTCCCTAAAGTTTCTTTGGAGACAACAATAACAACAAAAAGGTGACACTGACAATTTTGAAGGGCTTTTTTTCCCCTTTAAAGTAAATGATTGAAGTATAACATGCAAACAGAAAAGTGTCCAGTTTGTACCTATATCCCAGTGAATTTTCATAAAGTGAAATATTCATGTAACCAACATCTGCATCAAGCTCTGTGATATAATACTACCAGTACCCCAAAAGCCCTCTCATGGCCTTATGTCCCTGCCACACACTCCCTCCCCACAAGTATAACCACTGTCCTGACTTCTAACACTGTCAATTTTTAACTTAATCAAGTGTTTTAACTTTATATAAACGGCACCATACAGGATTACTATTTTGTCTGGCTTCTTTCTCTCAACATTACATTTGTGAAAATCATCTATATTGTTGTACATAGCAACATTTCTATGAATACTGTTTGAGTATACCAAAGTTCATTTATTCTTCTGTTGTTTGTTTGGGTTCCTAATTTTGAACTATGATAAATAATGATTCTTTGAATATTCTTCTATGTGAGTTTTGGTTTAAAAAATATGTGTATGTGCATGTATATATATCTACATACACATACATATATAATGCATTTTCTTGGGAATATGTATAAAGCAGTGAATTTTCCAGGTCAAAAGGACTGTGTGTTTATTTAGCTTTAAGTAGATACTGCTAATCAGTTCTCCAAAATGGTTACACTTCCAACGGTGGTGTCCGAGAGCTCTAGTTGCTTTATCCTCCCCAGCACTGGGTACTGCGTGTCTCTTTCATTCTAGTCTTTTTGGTGGTTGTCTAATGGTATCACATTGTGTCTTTAATTTGCATTTCTCTAGTTACTAATGAAGTATTAGCACCTTTTCAATTGTTTAGTGGCCAGGTATTTTATGAAGTGGCTATTCAAACCTTTGGCCCATTTTTCTTAGCAATTATCTACCTTTTCACTATTGCTTTCAAAGAATTCTTTATATGTTCTGAATACACATTCATTGCTGGATATATGAATGACAAGAATCTTCTACTTCATGGCTTCCTTTTTCATTTTTACCTTTGATGAGAAGTTCTTAATTTTAATGTAGCCCAGTGTATCCATTTTTCTTCTTTGTGTTTAGTATAGTAAGTCTTAAACGGTGCCAGTATGTTTTGCAACTTTAGTGAAGTGACATATAATGAAACCAGTTTTCTGTAGGCTAATTGATATAAACAAGAGTTAAGCTCCTAAGGCATCTTATCACTATTACATTGATATGAGGTTGAACAAAATGGCATTATTTCAGGACCTGTTGTACTTTTGAGTCCTGTTTAAGAAGTATTAAAGCAAGGTCCTGAAGAGATTTTCCTACGCATGCTTTCTTCCAAAAGCTTTATTGTTGGATCTTCCCATTTGGTTGTTTATGTCAACTAGAGTTGATTTTTATATGTGGTGTGAGAGAGGGGTCAGGATTTACGTCTTACATGTAAACAGTCAGTTGACCGGGCATTCACTGAAAACAGCACTCTTTTCCTACTGCGGTGCGGGGTCACCTTTGTCCTAGAAGCCAGTAACTGTATATGTGTTTACATCTGTTTCTGGCTTTATAATCTCTTCAATTAATTTGTTTTCCTGTTCTTGTATCACATATCATAATGCCTTATAATAAATCATGATACCTAGTGATGTATGTCAGTCCTATATGGCTTTTAAAGTTATTTTTAGTTTATGAGGATTTATCAGAAATTATTAGATCTGAGTTATATTTATAAGTATAGTAAACATAGTTAATTTTAAATTAAAAATTTGTAGTTATTAGCTTTAGAGCTCTTCCTTAGAGCTCTGTAGTGTATAGCCAACATTTTATACAGGGGATCACAAGTAAAGGTTATTTCTATTATGTGAATAAAAATTTAAGTTATTTTAAATAATTAAATCTTATATCTATGTTTCAGATACCTGGTTTTAAATAGGACAGTATTGGTTTAAATTTCTTTTTACTTTTTGTTTTTTCTGTGTAATTTAATTTTCACACAGGATGGAAAATTTTGATTCTTTTATGTATTAGTATATAATGCTATATGGCTCTAATAATGGCCTTATTCTTTCTATTAAGATATAAATGGGCCCTGGCTGGTGTGGCTCAGTGGATTGAGTGCCGGCCTTCAAACTAAAGGGTCACTGGTTCAATTCCCAGTCAGGGCACATGGCATCTATTTTCATTCTTCTGCATGTGGCTGTTCAGTTTTCTAAAGTATTTATTGAAGAGACTATCATTTCCCAATTGTATATTCTTGGCTGCTTTGTCATGTATTAATTGACCATATATATAGATTTATTCGGAGGCCCTCCATTCTGTTCCATTGATCTATGTGTCTGTTTTGTACGCTTCTGGTTGATACAACTTTGTAATATAGTTTCAAATAAAGAAGTGTGATATCTCTGGCTTTGTTCTTCTTTTTTAAGGTTTCTTTGGTTATTTGGGGTCTTTGGTTGTTCCATACAAATTTTTAGATTGTTTGTTCTATTTCTGTTAAAAATGCTGTTGAGATTTTGGTAGTGGTTGCATTGAATTTATAGCTTGCTTTGGATAGTATTGAACTTTTAACAATATTACTTCTTGCATTCCATGAGCACTGAATATCTTTTAATTTATTTGTATCATCTTCAGTTTCTTTTATTAATGTCTTAGAGCTTTCAACATACCAGTCTTTCACCTCCTTGGTTAAATTTATTCCAAGGTATTTTATTCTCTTTGATGAAGTTGTAAATGAGATCATTGTCTTAATTTCTCTAGTTGGTTATTATTAGTGTATAGCAACACAACTGATTTTTATATATTGATTTTTTACCCTGTAACTTTATTGAATTTATTTATTAGTTTTAACAGTTTTTTTTGGTGGAGTCTCTAGAGCTTTCTATGAATGATGTCATGTCATCTACAAATAGAGACAGTTTTACTTCTCCTGTCCTGATTTGGATGACTTTTAGTTCTTTTTTTCTTGCCTAATTGCTCTGGCTAGGAGTCCCAGTACTATGTTGAATAGAAGCAATAAGAATGAACATCTTGCCTTGTTTCTGGTCTTTAAGGAAAAGCTTTCAGTTTCTCACCATTGAGGATAATGTTAGCTTGGGCTTGTCATATATGGCCTTTCTTATGTTGAGGTACATTTCTTTTATACCCACTTTGTTGAGAGTTTTTATCATAAATGAGTTTAAATTTTGTCCAGTGTTCTTTCTACATCTATCAAATTGATCCTATGAGTTTTTTTTTAAAGATTTTTATTTATTCATTTTTAGAGAGAGGGGAAGAGAAAGAGAAAAATATCAGTATGTGGTTGCCTCTTGCATGCCTAGTACCGGGGACCTAGCCTGCAACCCAGGCATGTGTCCTGACTGGGGATTGAACTGGTGACCCTTTGGTTAGCAGCCCAAGCTCAATCCACTGAGCTACACCAGCCAGGGCTGATCCTATGATTTTTATCCTTCATTTTGTTAATGTGGTGTATCACATTGATTAATTTGTGGATGTTGAACCATCCTTGAATCCCTGGAATAAACCCCACTTGATTATGGTGTAATGTTTCTTTTAGTGTATTGTTGCATTTAGTTTGCTAATATTTTGTTGAGGATATTTGCATCTATGGTCATCAGGGATATCAAATGACCTATAATTTTTTAAATACACTTTCTGCATTCACTTATTTTTTATGATTAAAAAAACTCTTTTAATTCTATTATAGTTGTCCCAATTTTCCCCCATCACTGTCCCCTGCCCCACCCCCCACAGTCAGTCCCCATCCTGTTGTCCATGTTCATGGGTCATTTATACCTGTTCCTTGCAATTTTCTTTCGTAGTAGTGTACTTGCCTGGTTTTGGTATCAGGACAACACTGGCCACGTAAAATGAGTTTGGAAATGTTCCTTCATGCTTATTTTTATTTATTTATTTATTTATTTATTTATTTATTTATTAAAAATCTTGACCTAAATTTTGATTTAGGGCCATAATTGAGTTTGAGCCTTTTTATTTTAAGAAATTACCCTTTAAACTTTATTTTCAAAGTGCAGTTTATGTTCAGTATTATTTTATATTAGTTGCAGGTGTGCAGCGTAGTGGTTAGACAATCATGTACTTCACAGAGCGATGTCCCAATATTTAAAGTACCCCCTGGCCCCACACACAGTTATTATGACATTATTGACTATATTCCCTGTGCTGCACTTTACATCCTGTAACTTTTTTGTAACCACCAATTTGTACTTAACCCCTTCACCTTTTTCACCCAGTCCCCTAACGCCCCTCCTCTGTGGCAGCCATCAGTTTGTTCACTGTATCCATGAGGAGTCTCCTTCTGTTTCGTGTGTTCATTAATTTTATTCTTTATATTTCACAGTTAGTGAAATCATATGGTACTTGTCTTTCTCTGAATGACTTATTTCACTTAGCATAATACCCTATAGGTCCATTCATGCTTTCTCAAATGGTAAGATTTTTTTTGCTTTTTTATGGCCAAGTAG